GACCGAACTTCCCCGAACTCAAACCTTGTGGGCGGGACTAAGTTCGGAATGGCACCCAGGCTAAGGATATCCACGACAGACAGCCAAAAAATAAAAATAAAATGACATGACAGGGTTCCTACAACATAAGGAAAGTAAAATTCAAGACTTTTTAATGCCACTTAAAATACACATTTTAGAACATTAACAATAAACACAAGAAAAACCTGGTAGTGACAAATTTACCCCAAATGTTTATCTTAACATAAACCATTACTTTCTGGCCCAGTAGATACGTTTCAAATTTGGAAACACTTTCCATAAAGGAAGAAAGCTAAAAACAAAAAAATAACGGATATACTTTTAACGACTACTGAACTGAATTCACTAACTTTGCATTGTTCCCTTCTCAATCTCTACTTTCATTGTCGGCCAACCGCCAAACATCCTGACATTTGGTTCTACTGGCGCTGTTGGTTGCTGCTTTGATTCCCATCGTGCTTCATCTACATTCCCTGGCAGTGGTTTTAGCCATGCTGAAAACTCTCGGATGGATAGCCTATTTTTCATTGAATTTCAAACTTCCCCATGTTGTCTAGATAAAAAGTTAGTGGCACATCACACCAAGGTCCGGCCACAACATATGGTTTTGTTATGATGGTTACAGTGAGTGGTTCAGTAAACGTAAGAAAAATATTGTCAATTATTTTATTGTTTAATATGGATTACAAAAATAAAATCCTATTTTTTATGTGGTAACAATTTTAAGACCTATGAAAGACTGATTTAAGACATTTTAATACCAATTAAGGCCTTGATTTTATATTGAAGAATTCAATGCCTTTTAAGATTTTTTAAGGATCTGTGGGAACTCTGCATGAAGTATTCAAAGTAGGCGATGACATCATCTAGCGCCTTTTAAGACAGCCAATACGTTTTCTTGCTGAGGTTGAGGCTCTGCTATCCTGTTTCTGTTTTCTCTCTCTACTGTCATCCTGTGTTGACATAAGTAGCTAAAATAACTCTTGTACTGACATTCCAACAGCTACGCTTTGGCTTGATAATGAGAGTAATCTGTGTTTATGTTAGATATGGGATAGACCCTCCTGTTATCACCTTATTTGGAAACTTTGATGCTACAATGTTTGAAGAAAGCCGCCGCTTTATGCTACATTCACAGCGAACATGATTTGAGCAGCAGAAGCAGCCGGTTTTTATAAAGAGTCTATAGTTAACGTGCATTCAAAAGGTCCTGCAGTGCATCACCAGCAGCAGGAGCAGCGCCTCATGAGCAGCTGAGGCGCTTTAAAAGCAGCAGATGCTGGAGTTGGAACATTTGATATTTTGCTGCTCCACTTAAACCGACCAATCACCAATAAGCTCTACTATCAGTCGACTAAAGCCGTTTACAGGGTTCGTACACCTTTTCCAAAGTCAAAATCAAGCACTTTTCAAGCACTTTCAAGATCCATTTTAAAACTTTTTCCAGCACCTTACACCACCGTAAATTACATACCAATACATAGGCAAAATTATTATTTAGTGTGGTCAGCCGGAACCAGTTTTGCACGGATGACTGCCGGGGGTAAGGGGGGGATGATCAAAGAAAATGACTCCTCTGCCACGGCGTAGTAATATAACCAACCAGAGGGTGTCGCAATTCAGTATTATCAGCCGTAGAGTTATCAATGCTGTTTTAAGGTCTGGGCCTGGCAATAAATTAAAACTTCGTTTTTTTGTTTGTTTGTTTTTTTGGAACGTTGGCGAGGCGGTGGCGTGAGTTTGGCGAGGCGGTCGCCTCGCCA